ATTATTTTTGATGCATATTTTTAGCCAAGAAGCTAAACAAAACAATCAAAAAGAAATAAAAAGAAAAGAAAAACCCCCAAGATATTTTATAGGCTTCTAATAATATAGGCGATGTGAGCAAATACAAGAGGCAGCTCGAGGGATTTCAGAAAAGAGAAAATGATCTTGCAGAGCAGAGTCCTATGGGGAAGAGAAGCTAATAACAGGGATTTTGATCATCTGTAGTCAGTGAGATCTAACTGCACAAATCCCATTGAAAAATCAGCAAGACGTTGCTGCTGGGAGGGTGGCTGTGGAAGTGGATTAGCGACTTGTTTGAAGGCTGGGTTGGCCAATAGCTGGGACCCAGGGACAGAGGCATGGCCGCCTCTTCAGAAAACCCCACCGACTGGTCTGAGGTGAAGGGATTATGCTTTGTTTATTATTTTAGAAAACCTCAAAACATTTTATTGAACGTGAGCATCAAAGAGCTTGGGGAGAATAAATTGAATGAGGACACTTCTGAATTTAGCTTCCAGGCAGTTTTCAGCCTGGATCCATTAAATGAAACTGTAAGTGTTGAAGGAAAGAGAGATGGGTTTGCATTTGCTTCGCTTGCTTTGAAAGAGCTACGGTTTGCTCACTGACACATATGCAAATCCTTCATTAAGGTACCCCGGAGATGGGAGAAAAGTTTGCAAGGGCCCCCCAAAATATATAGATAAAGGAGGTTTTTGTTTTTATATCCTTCACTTATTACTATAAAAGATCTAGTGGGTTCAAATAGATGGATTTTAAACAGCCCCAGGGACTTTGCTTGACCTTTTGAAAAAACAATTTAAAAGTTGCTTCAGAGCACCTACAGGTCAGTTCTTGCCAATGACTTCCTATAATATGAAAAAAAAACTGTACTCTATTTTCAAACTTCATTTTGAGGCTTTCTCTAAGTATGTTCCGTGGACTTTGGTGAAGAATTGCTACAAAGGAGTGATAGTGGGCATATGTGTGCATGTGTACATGTGAGATGGGTAAGGTGCCATCATCTTTATTGTCCTTTGGAGTTAAGGGTTCAGAACCCAAGCTGACCCTGTAGGGCAAAGGAATGAGACCTTTGCTAGGATTCAGCATACCCTTCCTATGACTTATTTTCATCTTTAAATGGAGATACTACCTGATAATAAGAAAATAATAATAATTCTACTTCATAAAACTTGCTGTGCAGATTAAATGTGTTAAGATGCATGAAAAGCTTACATCAACACTGGACCTAATAATCACTCCATCGTAGCTCTTATTATTTCATTATTAATTAAAGATCAGGGCTCTGATCCTGATGCTGACATGACCACCCAATGCAGTTATCATCTCCTTGTTTCCTCATCTGTAATATGTGAATAATTCTACATGACCTATATCTGCCAGCTTTTTTCTTGTGATACTGGGGATTGGATCCAGGGGTGCTCTACCCACTCAGCTTACATTCCCAACCCTATTTATTTATTTTGAGACTTGACAAAAATCTTTCTAAGTTGCTGAGGCTGGCCTTGAACTAGTGAGCCCTCCTGCATCAGGCTCCCAAGTTACTGGAATTACAGGTGTGTGCCACCTGGCCTGGCTTATACTAGCTTCACCCCCTCATCCCCCATCAAATGAGATGATTAGTGTGACAATAGATTATGAAAACCATGAAATGATAGAAGAATGCCACATATATATTTGTTTTGGTGCCTGTTCTTTGGAGCTGTTCTTGTTGGTATGCTGGACGTGGCACTGTATCAGGAGCTAGTAAATGGAGACACTCCTGTGGTCAGTTTCTCCCCAGGTAGTGAGGGGTGTATGGAAAAGTACAGGGAACGGCATAAATCCACCTGGCACAGGGAAAGCCTAGAGTTCCACTATTCAGAAGCGTTATGTCCAAGGTAAAGCATCTAAAACCATGGCGACTGGAGGTTAAACCACAGCTGCATCATCAGCAGAGGTGTCAGTTAGACAGACGCACGCGCACACCGTTCTGGATGGGGGTCGGGCAGGCACAGGAACACTCTGGCAGCTCATGCAAAACGGGTCGCTTTCTAATCACAGGAAGCGGTCAAGACAGGGCCTCCGACCTGGGGTCGAGAGGATTCTTACCTTTTTGACATCCCTGACCAAGTGGTACAATGTGTTTGAGGGCCCATGTCTCTGAAAGCAATAAAGAAGAATCAAACAGTTTTGCTAGTCAGGGGCTCTAACTGGCAAGGCAAGAAGGTTCTGGAAGGAAGGGTTCTGACTGGTGGAGGGCAGTTTGTTATGATGGACCTTGTTTTAGTTGCTCAGTTTTGTCTGTCTTTTCTAAGGAAACACAGGCAGAATTTTGGATTGGATTGTTGCAAGAAAAGGTGTTGGAGGTCCTAGGTTCAAAGTTTCTAAGGCACATTGTCAATTCTGTAGATGGCTGGGCCCAGACATTATCGAAGGAGTTAGTTTTGCAGCAGGGAAAAACATAAGGGCCAATTTACCAATTGGAAAAATACCTGGGCACATTGTCATTGAGACTTCTTTATTTTCTATAATGAATTAGAAAATTATCTCAAAAAGGGGTTGGCAAATATTTTCTGTGAAATGCCAGGTAGAACATATTTGACGCTTTTTGGACTAGACAGTCTTTATCAAATCAGTTTAACTATTATTATACTGTGAAAGCAGCTATAGACTTTGTTGTTGTTGTTTTCTTCTTCTTCTTCTTTTTTTTTTTTGGTAGTACTGGGGATGGAACCCAAGGCCTTGTACATGCTAGGCAAGGGCTCTACCACTAAGCTACATCCTTAGCCCTTCTGTTGTTTTTATATAAACAAGCAAGTTTAGCTGTGTTTCAATAAAACTTTATTCATGGACACAGAAATAAAATTCCCTATACTTTAAATATGTTATAGAATATTCTTCTTCTGACTGCGTCAACATTTTAAAAAATGTATAAAAAGTCATTATTAGGGGCTGGGGTTGTGACTCAGCAGTAGAGAGAGACCCTGGGTTCGATCCTCAGCACCACATATAAAACAAAGGTTTTGTGTCAGACTACAATATATATATATATATATATATATATATATATATATATATATATATATGTATATATATGTATATATATATATGTATATATATGTATATATTGTATATATTCATTATTAGCTTACAGGGTGTACAGAAAAAGGCTGTGGGCTGGATCTGAACTTTGGTTATAGTTTGCTGAAATCTGATTTAAAGGAAAAGCCACAGGCTGGGGAAAAGAGAGAGTTGGTGAAAAGATGTATTTATATTTGAGGTAAGAATAAAGTGAAGTGAGTTTCTATTTTCTTGTCTCAGAAACAGGAATGCTAGATAAAATATAGGATGCCTAATTAAGTTTGAATTTCAGATAAATGCTGAATAGTTTTTAACATAAGTATGTCCCATGAAATATTTGGGATATATAGATGGTCCTTCATATCTGTGAGTTTTACATTCATGGATTCCACCAATTATAGAACAAAAATATTTGGAAAAAAACTGTTTGTGTTGAATATAAAAATACTTTTTTCTTGCCATTATTCACTAACCAATACAGAATAATAACTATTTACACAGAATTAGTATTGTATTAGGTACTACAAGTGATCTAGAAATAATTTAAAGTCTATTGGAGGATGTGTGGGGACTCTGGAACCAATTCCAGGCAGATACAGAGGGACAACTCTACTTATACTAAAAACACTCTTTATTGTTTATCTGAAATTTAAATTTAACAAGGTGTTCTGTATTTTGATGTGCTAAATGTGGCAACTTTCTTGTAGGATCTAAAATTGTAATGTCAAATCCTTAAGCAAATGTGTTGTAACACATTTAAGTACTGAAGCAATTCCTGTGTACTGCTTCAATCCTTGTCCATTCATGTGGACACAGAACCTGCTAGAACCTTGATTTTAGAATTTCAGCCTCCAGAATGGTGAGAAATAAATGTCTATTTTTTATAAATTGCCCAATCTTGGGTATTCTGTTATAGCAGCACAAATAGACTAAGACAGTCTCAGTTTCCTTATCTATAAAACAGTGAAATTGACTCTAAAACCAAACCAAAACAAAACAACAACAAAAAAAGCAAACAAAAACTTCTTTTGAGGTAACTCCTAACAAGAGGTATTTTACATCTAATTCCACTGTTGTGGGAAAAGAAAGAACTTCATAGCTCTGAAGTTTACAAAATGACACAGGTACTTAAGTGGCCTCCTTTGATGCTTAGAACTAAATCATTCCTCTTCTGCCAATTGTCACAAATGCCCTCTGGATTTCAGAATAAACTGTGTTCCAATTTCCACAGCCTTGTTTTGTCTAAAAGCACGAGAACAGTCCCTTCAGGTGATGACCTAACCTTCTGCCTTGGATGCTGACAACTGAGCAGTTAAAACAAGTGGAGTCTTGGTGACTTGGTATTTGTTGTCTACAAAGGTCTAAGGGAGTATTGTGAAGAATGATGCATGCATTTAGGGGAGGAAGAGAATCACAGGCATGTTGGGGGCAGGAGAAGGTAAGCAAAAAAACAAAGAAAATAACAAGTGCCTTAGCTTGGCCCTACCGTATTGTACAATTCCTCTAGTCTGGAGATGGTGAGAAAACGGTGCATGCTTACTCCATTCTCTATGAGTAATTTCACAAAATCCACTCTGTCCAAAACTAAGGCATCCAACATGGCTTGTTCCAGAGACCCCACCTGCAAATCAAGTCACTGAGTTAGTCTGCCCCGGGGTCTATGGATGTGGTTCCTTGGCATTTGCCTGAAAAGCTTAAAAATGGATGGCTTGACATCTGGTAAATCTTCAGGACATCCAAGAACATGCTAGAGAGACTGTTCCCAGCTCCAACTTTGGGACAACCATTGTGTTCGGGGGCCTGCCTTTGGAAATAGAAGTCAAGGATTTCAAGGTCCAAAAGCTATTTCTTCCCTGAACCATTTTTTTTCCCCTGAATCCCGAGAAGGTGCAAGAGTTTATGGGGGCTTTTTCCCCTTGCCATTTTCTGACCAAATTTCTGCAATGCCCGAGAAGAGCCAAAGTAAGTATTTTACTGTCTTTTTTTTTTTTTTTTAACCTTACCTGGGCTCTGAATTAGACTCCTGGCTGACTTGAGAAGATGAGCCCAAGGATACAGACCAAAGGGCCTAAATAGATACAGGAGGTGTAGAAATGGGTAAGACAGAGGCAAGCTGGTGTCACCCAACTAAAAAAAAAAAAAGAGTAACCTAATATCTGGTTTGCCACTGGCTAGGATTCTAGGATTTCTTTTCTGGTTTTTTTTTTTTTTGGTGCTGGGAATCAAACCTAGGGCCTTATGCATGCTAAGCAAGCACTTTACCACTTAGCTTCAACTCCTAGCCAAGATTTTTATTTAATTCCTTTCATAAAAATGTCCCAGTGTCCAGATTCCTTGACAAGTATTTCCATGCTAGCAATTCACTAGTTCTACATGAAGACAACTGCTAAGCTCAGCCAAAGGGTGTTGAGGAAAAGGAAGGGTTAAGAGAAACCTGCCCATGAGTGGTAGGATTCCAGGCACAGAAATGAAATTTTGGGCTGTTGGGTTACCTCCTGTGGATGCATGTGTATACCACCCAATGGGCAATTTCGCAAATTTTAATTTTTGGTAGAGTCAATTGAGGGAAACAAACCAAGAACAGTTATATAAAGCTTCGGTTCTTTGTGTTGTTCTTTGGGAGCAGGGAGGACCTGTGCTCAGTCACCAGGACCAGATGGCACCTGCAAGCGGGAGGCTTCTAATTCTGCATCCTGAGGCATGACCCAGCCGCAGACCAGCAGGGGGCGCCTCCACTTGGAAGCAGCATCCTCTTCCTTTTGCCCGCCTCACAGACAATCAGAAACAAACTAATTCCAACTTTATACAACTTTGTGTTATATGTCTCTTTAAACACACGCTAAAAGATATTATCTACAGCTCTCAAAGGCCATTCAGGGATGGAAATGTATGGCTATTAGGAGATGTGCTTAGTTATAACTTCCACCAGGTGGCAGCATTTCCTCAAATATGAGAAGAGGCGCCCAGGCCAGGTACTCCTGCGCAAAGCAAGATCTCATCCTAAAAAAAAGGCAGTAGTTTACTGAGCCACTCTAAAAAGCTCCTTAAACAAATACCCTTGCCCAGGCAAGTGGGCTTTTCGGGGGTGACGATGTATACTCTACCGGCCACTGTTGCCCATAAATAAAGATCTGGCTTCGAGCGATGTCCACTCTGTTCCAGGCTAAAGCTAAACTCAGTTGGTCTGGGGCCGAGGCATTGGCACCTGTGTGTAGACAAATGGGGGAAAAGAATGGGAGAGAGAAAACAAGGATCAGTTATTGTAAAGAGAAGACCCACTCTTTCACTCTGCCACTGACCCACTCCTCCTGAAGAGCAGGCTCAGATATGCAGCAGGGTTTCTCGAACTTGGCACCATTGAATTGGGGGGAGGATAATTCTTTGTCATGGAGCTGTCCTATATATTGCAAATTATTTATTAGCACCCCTGAACTCAATCTCTTAGGTTCTAGTTAGCACTTTTCACCCATCCCCTCATTTTCCCGGTTATGACAAACAAGATTGCCAAGTGGCCCCAAAGTATGGAGGCAAACAAAAGCAGCCTACTGAGAACCCCTGCTCTACAGCCTGGCTGCTCAGGGGGTCCCTGGGACAGCAGCATCACTGCTAGAAATGCAAACCTCAGGCCCTCTCCAGACCCACTGAATCAGAGGCTGAATTTTTGTTGTTGTTGTTTTTTGAGACGGGGTCTAGCTATATTAGACAAGCTGGTCTCCAACTCACAATCCTCCTGCCCCAGCCTCTATGCCTGGCAGAATCTGCATTTTAACCATTTTAAGATGATTTCTGCTCATGCTGTTGTTTGAGAAGTGCTTTTCTAGAACACATTTTGCTTCTGTGGTTAATCTGATTTCAAGAATGGTTGGAATTGTCTTTAGCATGGGGTGGGTCCTCGTCAGCTAGTGGGCCAGCGTTGGTACTCTGGTGAGAAAGAGCTGAGCTCTCTTAAGAGAAACACACACAGCAGCTTAAGAGAAACACACATAGCAGCTTAGGTGTACTTTAGGTTGTGGGGAAAAACCATTGGAAAGATTTTCCAGTTTCTCATTATACCCCAGACTCAGTGTCTGGATACGTGCTGTTCACATGCAGTCATTTAAACATAAATTAATTATGATTGAATAAAAATTAAAATTTCTGTTCTTCATCTATTTTAGCTATATTTTGGTGCTCGAGAGCCACATGTGGCTAGTGGCTGGTGGATCGGAGATGACGGAGAGGACATTGTTATCTTTACAGAAGATCCCATTGGGACAGAGCTGGTCAGTGCAAGCTGCCCATGAATGCAGACTACAAGTTGGCGATGTGAGGCTGAGAGTGGAGGCAGTGTGGTAGGCAGAGGGAACATGGGGTTTCTTGAGTCTGCCATTGTGTGACTGTGTGCATGACCATGGACTTCTCTATACCATTATTGGTCATCTGTGAAATGGGGACCATATAAATATCCTGTTTTACCTGGCTGAGGCTCTGTGAGACTGAATATCATATATGTGAATTCACATGAGAACAGATTTTTCACAATTCGACACCCTTGGTGCGCTCAGGAAAAGATATCCCTTGATATTTGCTCAAATTCATGCTGTTGAATATCTCAAAGTGTGGAAGGAGGGTAAAGAGAAAACAATTCTTTCCTGGCTCAGATATTTTGAAGACTCTTATGTTTTCAAAAGCAAAAGTATGGGGCATTTCCATGCATCAAATGTAGTATCCTAAATAATCCTGAGAATTGGGTCTTACTGTCTGTTTTGGATAGAGGAAGATACTAAGTTCCAGAGGGGTTGGAGTAAAATGTCAAAGATCAGACAGCTACTAACAGTGGGTGAACACAGCAAGTGCTCAGGTGCAGAGGTGAGCCTCACACCCAGTGGGCTCCCACCACTGCTACTTCTGATGTTGCTGAAGGAGGGAGGGACAGTCATTGCATATAGTGCCCATTCCTATGGGTGATCAGCAGCGGAGACGAGAAGCAGCAAGGCAGGGGCAGGGCTTTTGCTGATGAAGCCATATGTACCAGTAATTCCCAAACTTTGCCACCCATGGACTCACCTGGGGAGCTCTTAACCATCCCTGTGCTCAGGTTGCACCTCAGACCAATTAAATAGTATTGCTTGGGATTATTGCTAAAGCTCTCCAAGTGTTTCCTATGTGTAGCAGAGGTTGGGAACCTAGACCACTTTCCCTGATTATCCTCACCTCTTCCCTCTGGGGACAATTAGAAAACAGGGTGTTTGCTAGATAGCTCTTCTCAAATTGTAGTGTGCATCAGAATAACCTGAGGCTGTTTTAGGACACAAATTCTTGTGTTCCACCTGCTGATATTCTGACTCAGTAGCTTTGGGTTGAAGCCTGAGTCTTTGCGTTTCTAGCAGGGTCTCAGATGCTGCTGCTGCTGCTGATCTGGAACCACACTTTGAATGAGATGGTCCTGGAGAGCTGTAGGGTCATGTTCCCTTCATAGGTGGAAGAATATTTCTGATCCTGGTGTCCACACGTCGAAGGGTTTCATATAAACCACAATCTTGGAGTAGATTGATGAGTGTTTGGATTGATGAATAATAATTTTGTTTGCACAGGGAATTTTCCATTAAGAAAATTAGCTTTCTTCTTGATAACAACAGTGACTAAAACTTCATACCAGGGTAACAGGTATAAATAGTGATAAATAGAAATGTGTCAAAATGTAGTGTCATCAATTTAGAGGGAAAGTAAAAGTGAAGGCTCACTGGATTGCATTTGGAAGGATGGCACTTTACATCTTCTTTTGCTTATTGTTTTCCTTTTAAAAAATATAAATATATTTGAATTGACACATAGTAATGGTACATATTAATGGGGATATAGTGAGACATTTAGATACATGTAGGTATAATGATTAGATCAGGGTAACTGGTGTATTCATTGTCTTTGATATATATATATATATATATATTTTTTTTTTAATTGAGACCATTCAAAATCCTCTTGGATGGGCACAGTGGCACATGCCTATAATCCCAGCAGCTTGGGAGGCTGATATAGGAGAATTGTGAGTTCAAAGCCAGCCTTAGCAATGACAAGGTACTAAGCAACTCAGAGAGACCCTGTCTCTAAATAAAATACAAAATATGACTGGGGATGTGCCTCAGTGGTTGAGTACCCCTGAATTCAATCTCCAGTACCAAAAAAAAATTCCTCTTGACTAGCTATTTTGACATTGACTTTTTTTGGGGGGTGGGGTACCAGGGATTGAACTCAGGGACACTCTACCACTGAGCCACATCCCCAGCCCTTTTTTATATTTTATTTAGAGACAGGATCTCACTGAGTTGCTTAGTGCCTTGCTTTTACTGAGGCTGGCTTTGAACTCGTGGTCTTCCTGCCCCAGCCTCCTAAGCCACTGGAATTGTAGGCCTGTGTGCTGGGTGACTTAACGAGCTATTTTGAAATATGCTGTTAACTGTCAACTGTACATAAGCTATGGTACTGCAGCTGCTCCACTGTATCCATTCCCTCATCTCAATCTCCCTGCCATGTCCTTTCTAGGTTCTGGCAACCATTCTTGTACTCTCTACTTCTATGAGATCAACTTTTTAACTTCCACACAGAAGTGGAAACACGTATTGTCTGTCTTCCAATTTCTGGCTTATCTCACTTAGTGTAATGTCTTTAGTTCCATCCATGTTACTGCAAATGACAGGATTTCATTATTTTTATGGCTGAATACTACTCACACATATGGACCACATTTTGTTTATCTGTTCATCTGTTGATTCTGTATCTTGACCATTGTGAAGAGTACTGCAGTAAATGTGAGAGCAGAAGTTTCTTTGACATACTGGCTTTATTTCCTTTTTATACTTAGTGATTTCATTTCCTTTGGATCCAGCATTACAGGATCGTATGGTGGTTCTATTTCCAAGATTTTCTGGAGACTCCATCTCATTTTCCATAGTTGCTGTGCTCTGCATTCCCACAATAGTGTATGAGAGACCCTTTGCTTGTTTTTTTGTGGTGCTGTGGATTGAACCTAGGGCCTTGCACATGTGAGGACCCTTTGCTTCTTCAGCTGTTCTCTTGGTCATTGCTGACTTGCTTTAACGGTTTATTCATCCCCCTTTTCATTCACATGTTACAAATGTGCGTGCTACCCACGTCGATAATAACATAAACCTGAGCAAGAACACAGCAGGAAGCAGTGATTAAGTGTAATCAGAAAAGTGTTGAATGAAAGCATGAAGCCAAAGAGTCTTGACTTTTCAAAAATGGAAAACACATCACTCAAGAATGGTTCTGCATGAAAGTGTGGATCAGTGCAGGGTGAATAACCTCCTGGTTTACCTAGGACAGTTGCAATTTTAGCACTGTGCTGTTGGAGAAGTTTTACTCCTGAGGAAACCTGAACATTTAGTTAGTCAGCTTATCTTTAACTATGACTTAATACTGAAACTACAATAAAACTTTAAACATACTAATTCCTGAGATGCACCTCCAGACATTCTGATTTAATTGGTCTGGGACATTTCAGGTTTAGGAGTTCCCCAGGTGATTACAATTGGAAGACAGGATTATGAATCTCTAGTGTAGAGGAGACATGTTCATTCATTGTTGATTCTGTATCTTGACCATTGTGAAGAGTAAATAATAAAATTTTCATCTTTTACCTACAACCTCTGGTTACTTACAGTCATGGCATTTGCAGATTAATGGATGGAGTTGGAGAATATCATGCTAAGTGTAGTAAGCCAATACCCTAAAACCAAAGGCTGAATGTTTTCTCTGATAAGTGGATGCTGATCTATAATGGGGGTTGTGCAGGAGCATGGAGTAATTTTGGATAGGGCGAAGGGGAGAAGGGGAAAGGGGGAGGGAGCAGGGGGACAGGAAAGATGGTGGAATGAGATGGACATCATTACCCTAAGTACATTATGAAAAAACAAATGATGTGACTCTACTTGTCTATAACCAGAGACATGAAAAATTGTGCTCCGTTTGTGTACTATGAACTGAAATGCATTCTGCCGACTGCATTTGTTCTAACTGGTCACCCTCTTTACAGTGTTGATGTTCTACTCATGAAGTGTTGGCACCCAGAAAATAAATGAATAGACAATGTACCTTTAGACTGTGTCAGTGCTGTGAACAGGGCCGCCCCAGGGCATGTGTGACCCGTGTCCACATAATCAAATCGGTGCAGCAGCACTGTTCTGGCCACCAGATCTTGCATGT